AGGGTGCGGCCATCTTCCAGCTGCTTGCCAGCAAAGATGAGTCGCTGCTGGTCAGGGGGGATGCCCTCTTTATCCTGGATCTTGGCCTTGACATTCTCGATGGTGTCACTGGGCTCCACCTCTAGGGTGATGGTCTTGCCGGTCAGGGTCTTCACGAAGATCTGCATTTTGACCTTGAATTTAAAAGGTAAAGGGCCACGTGTTATTCCCACACCTCTAATGAAAACCCCTCCCCCGCGTCTCTCCACCCAACAACAAAAATCTGTTTCGTCATGGTTCCAAACTGCAAACGCGTTTCCAAACACTCAACTGGCATCCAGAACCTTCACGGATTTGCGGGACATCCGAGTCTGCCCGTCATGGCCGTGATAAATCAAAAACAAAAAAAACCCCATAACCCCAATCACAAGGCCATTAATTTAAAAAAAAAGACAAAAACATTTCAACAGAACCACGCAGCTCCTACACCGGGATTCGTGTTAAGCCTGGCGACACGTCGGGAGTACCTCTTTTCTGCCTTCCCCCACTGAAACCACCACGATGGCCTCTCCATCGGTTAGGCGTCCGTTAAGCTCCCTGGCGCGCGCGCCAGGGCCGCCCCCGCTCCCGCTCCCGCGCCGCGCACGCGAACAAGGAAGGCCCACTCTTCCCGGAAGGCCCGTTGCCGCGTCACGCCGGCTCGCCCTGCCCTCCCCTCCCCCACCGCGCCCCGCCCCACCCGGAGAAAGGCCGCCCGGTCGCCCGTCCTCCCGCGAGCCCCCGACCCCCCGGGGCCCCGGCACGACTCAAGCGCCGCCGAGCCTTACCTGTCCGCGAGTGTGATGAAACCACAAACCGCCGAAGCGCGTCGAGCCACCCAGACGCAAGCAGCTCCGCAGCAGACAAAGCCTCTCTCGTCACTGAGCGCCGCGGACGCGCGAGCCGCTATTTATGCAGCGTCCCGGGCGTCACTCATCACCCTGACGTAGCGGCCGTCTTCCTGCGCCGCCGAAAGTAGTCCCCCCCGCGCCCCACCTCCCACGACCCGGTCAGGCTCCCCCACCGGGCTCCCCGCCCCTCAGGACCGAAGGGAAGAGCACTGACCAAGGAAAGCCCCCTTCCCACCCGGCGACCCGTCCCCTTCTGGACGACAATATGGAAAAAAATCACCCGGCGGATGGATCCAAGTTAGAGGGCCCTCCCTCGAAAGCTCTGGAAACTTCCTCGCTGCGCCGGCGCTGATTGGCGAGGCGGCAAGGATTCGACCGGCGCTGATTGGTGGGGGACGCGGGCCGCTCGATTGTTGCTGGGCTCTGTTCTGGGGCAGTTTAACGTCGACGTTGCTAAGTAACCGAGTGCGCATGCGCCGTGGCTTTTTTTTTTTTTTCCCTTCTTCTCGAAATACCGTGTTTCCTGCCTGGGGTGGGGGAAGGGGGTCTTCTCTTCCCGCGTTCGGAACCCAGGTACCCTGCACCTCCCGCACCCCGCGCTGGGCGGGCTTAAGCCATAGCCTGAATTGCGCCCCAACGCTGCTCGCACTGCTGGACATTAGCTTTGCTGCGGCCCCTGCAGTGTAAACAATGACGCTTCTGCAGCCAGAGCGCTTTAGCCGCTTTGTCTTTTTTCTTAGCCGCCCTCAGGCTCAGACGTGGGGGTGGGGCGTCTGCGGAGCTGGAGGCTGAGGGCTCACGAGACCCAGCCCAGGCCCCGCCGGCCGGACAGATCCTCTTCCTCCTCAGCAGTCTCCGAACAATGGAAGAGGATACACGTCTGTTTGACTCAATACCCGGGGTTCACCCACCTCTGTCTTTGGGGTGCCTATTGTGCAAAGGAAGGGAATGGAGCGGTTAATCCTAGAACCTCAGGACGGGGTTCAGACGTCCTGGGTGTGGCCGCTTTTCCCTCATCCAGATAAACAAGGAACGACCGAGCAGGGCTGCGTGGATCGCGGTGTCATGCGGAGTCACGGGGTGGCCACGTAAATAACCTTGAAAACAGCTTTGTTTGCACGGGCTACCAACCCCCCTACGTCTAGAAATGTTAACCAATTAGATAACCTTGACTCTGTAAAGGTTCACTAGTTAACATGCAACTGAAGGGAACGTTGGGAATATATCTGGTTTGCTTAGCGTGAACCACAAGCCCCAGTTTGATTCTTCAGCCCAATGAACTATAAAGAGCAGGTAGATTTTAATTGGAAGTGAATTGAAATTTAGAAAATGTCCACTGTACATAGTATTTTATTTTTATTAGGCCACGGGAGTTGGACCTTGTTTCCCAAGCAGAGTATGTTCTGAGTCAGACATTTTGATGTGCAGATTGAACTAGAATGCAGACCTTATGACTGGTGTGATGACTTCACTGGGTTAAGTTCTAGCAACTTCCAGAACTTAGTCTTATTACTTCCTGGTTTATTGTTTTCTCAAAGTAGATCATTTGGTTACTTCAACACAGCAATAATTTCGAAAGAATGGCATCTGGACTCCTCCTGAAGCAGACAAGACGGGTTTTTTCATAGTATAGTTTTTTTGTTTGGTCCATTTGTCGCTGTCGTGGCCCCATCCCCACTCCCCACCCCGACAGGGCATCACTATGTAGTCCTGGTTGGCCTGAAACTAGTATATAGAACAGGCTGGCCTAGAGCTCACAGTGATCCTCTAGGCTCTGCCCCCTGAGTGCTGGAATTAAAGACATGGACCATCATGCCCAGCTGTAAAACAGGTTTTTTGAAGAAGAAAAAAAAAAAAAAACTTATTTCATGTGTACGGGTGTTTTTCTTTTTCTTTTTTTATATACTACCCGTGTACCTGGTACCTGAGGAGCCCAGAGGAGGGTGTCAAATACCCTGGAACTATATAGACAGTTGTGAGCACTCGTGTGGGTGATTGGGAATTGAGCCCCAGTCCTCCGGAAGAGCAGCCAGTGCTCTTAACTACTGAGCATCTCTCCAGCCCCCTGTAAACAGATTTAAAGCACAACAGACAAGCAAACAAACGAATAGGACAATGTAAATCTCGAGATTAGAAATTCATTGAGTTAGCACTGTGCTCGTGTATCTTCAATGAATAAGGAGCAGTTTTCCATTGTTCACCTAAAAAAAAAAAGAATTGTGTCATTTTTAGACCCTAAAACACAAAAAGACAGTAGTGCTATATATGTTTCTTCATTTGTTTTTGGTTTTCTGTTTTTTTTTCTTTTTTCTTTTGAGACAGGATTCTCTGTGTAACGTTGGCTGTCCTGGGACTAGTTCTGTAGACTTGGCTGGCCTCAAACTCTCAGAGATGTGCCTGCCTCTGCCTCCAGAGTGCTGGGATTAAACCACACCTGGCTGAATTTAAAATTTTTTAATAGTGGAAGAAAAGATGCTAGGGTAGCATATGCCTTTAATGTTCGTGGTAAGGAGGCAGGGGTATGTGGGGCTCTGTTAGTTCCAGGCCAAACAGAATTACAGACTTTGTCTCCCAAAACAAAGACTAAAACCATTTTAACCATTTTCACTGTATATATTATTGTATGTACATATTATAGCATAACAGAACATGAGAACTTTAAAAAAGTTTGTGTGTGTGTGTGTGTGTGTGTGTGTGTGTGTGTGTGTGTGTGCGCGTGTGCATGCGTTTCTGGAGTCAGAGAACAACTTAGGGGAGCCCGTGTTCCCCATCATGTGGGTTCTAGGGTCAGGCACAGGGCATTAGGCTTGTCAGCAAGTGCCTTTATCCACTGAGCCATCTCACTGGCCCCTGAAACCTGAAACTTTTCAAGCACAAATATATAACTTGTGAGCAGTTTGGATTTGGGGATTAGAGATGGTCAACTCTTCAGCAGAGTTTCCAGCACCTAGTACTGTCTGACTTGGTACATTTTTGCTAATTTGATGGGGTGGTTTGTCTAATAGAAAGTAAGATTTATAAAAGTCCTCTCCAATGTAGTTTATAAATATGAGCCTTATATGTTTTCAGGCAAGATCTGACTTCAGGGAGGCAGTCTTGGGACAGCTCTGACAGTTTGATAGATCTGGCTATCAGAGAACTATTCATTAATAATAGGCACTACTGACCCTTTAAAGAACTGATATATGCTTGTAACTGTTAAAGTTATGCTATGAGAGCAGGAAAGAATATTGTAGTAGTTTATACCAATTTTGTTAAAATTTGGCTAATCTGTTTTTCAGTGAGACATTTCAGCAGTTAAGTCAAATTTACCAATAGGTGTGGGAGTCCACAGTGACTCCAGCTTGTGACTTGATTTTCATCTGCACTCAAGGTTAGAGAGTTCAAGCTTGTCTTTACTCTTTAAGGCTGGATAACAGGATGTTTGGCCAAAGGCGTGGCTATTAGATGCCTTACTCATCAAGGCTGGATAACAGGATATTTGGCCAAAGGTGTGGTTACCAGGTGTCTTGAGAATTAAGGAGGTGTTTATGCTTGTCAGTACCTTGAACCATGGTGTCCTTGAGAGGGGGAGGTCTTTTTGACTCCCCTGTTTTGGGTATAAAAAGGCTCTGAGAAATAAACTCGTGGCTGCTGTGGTATTGACTCAGAGCCCTCCCAAAGCTATCCTGTGTCTCTGTCTTTTTCTTTTACGTCTACATCTCTATTTTTCCTATCTATAATTTCTCAATCCTTACTCCCCTATTTAGAACTATTTGACAGGTCAGGTGGGGCCCGGCAAATAAGTCCTTTTAAGAACCTAAGATAGCCGGGCGGTGGTGGCGCACACGTTTAATCCCAGCACTCGGGAGGCAGAGCCAGGCGGATCTCTGTGAGTTCGAGGCCAGCCTGGGCT